GATTTTTTTTACATTTAAATATTAGCAAGGAAGCTCAAAAGTGTTATTGCGAAGCATCAAATTGTCGTGGTTGGATAGGCGATACACCCGAAGAAGAGAAGGAGAAGATTGAAAAGATTGAAGAGAAACGCGAAAGAGATACGAAGAAGAAGAAAGAAGAAAAGAAACCTGTTGATTATATGGAAGATGAAGATGTAAGTATTGTAATTAATAATACTATGAGGATTACACAGCTAAGTAGTGTAATTTCTTCACTTTGTCCTTTTTTTTAGTTGGAGGAAGAAATGGACAAGTTGTGTTCAGGTGGTTTGAAAAACCGTGCGCACACATTAACATTAAGTAGATTAATGGTTCGTAGCAGAGAATTAAAACACAGGACACGCTTGTTACGTCTTATACAAAGCGGCGAACAACCCTGCCGGAGATTATTTTTGGATTATCACGGATTACGTTTGATTTGGAGTTATGTTATGGATATTGCTGCAGATGAATCAGAAGAAGCTCAACAATTTCGCTTAGAAGTGCTAAAAACTTTAAATACACTGCCAATACCAAACAAGACAATGTTAATGGATAGTAAAATATATGATGTAGTTGAAAGATGGGCGAAAAGATTATATCTCTCTCCAAATGCTGATTCGCCAGAAGATGATCAAGTTAAATCAAAGACGATTTGTGAGGAATTGAATAGTAATTCTGATAGCAATGAAAAGAAAAATCTTGATGAACGTCTGAATGACATTCCAGATAAACGTAATAATAATATCGAAAATTGTTTGGCAGTTAGTGAAATTAAATCAGAAAATACAGATCTTATACCCGATTTAGCTTGTAGTCTTCTTGCTGAATGGTCCAATCTAAAAGAAGTTTTTAAAATACCAAAAAAAGAAAGGATTGAACAAATGAAGGAACATGAAAGAGAAGCAGGTTATTTTCTATAATAATACCATTAAAATAAAAAAAAATAAAATTTATTAATGTCTATTTAACATTTATTTTGATTTTTTACAGATCGAGGATATAGAGAAGAATTGGAGAAAGAAGAAAAGAGAAGCACATCATATGATAGGTATGTGTTTATGTATTTAATTTATATCTCCAATTATGAATATTTTTTTGTGATGCTTAATGTATATGTACATACACACATATACAATGTATAATAGTGAATAAATTAAATTTAAAAAATATTTATTATTAATTGATTTCATAAACTCTTAGGCATAGATCTGATAGATATAATCGAAGCGAAACTGACAAACGTGGTGATAGAAGACGAGGACGAGAATCTCCAGAAGCTGAACATAGTAGAACAAAAGATAAAAGAATAGAAGAACGTAGTCTAGTTCCTATACCACAAATGACAAAATATGAGCGTAGACAATTATTTGCATTGAAAGTCGCGAAAGAAGAAGAAGAAAGACAACGTCGTCAACAGCAAGAATCATGGCAAGAACACGAGAATAGATGTTTAGCATTGGGTATAGATCCCCATACCACTGCCATGGTTGATCCTCAAACTGGTTATCCTGTTTTTTATAATCCAACATTAGGCCAATGGCAGCATTACCCCACTCAAGGTTATTCGTCATTGTATTCTATGTAAAAACGTTTATTTTTTTTATAATTTTTGTAATGAAAACATGCAGTCGTGTATTTTTTAAAATATTTAATAGAAAAATGTGAAATTCTTTTTATAGATGGAGGAGAAGCAACGCAACAGTGTACTCCTGTATATGTGGGAAATCCTCAGTCTACTAGTATAATAGGCCAGAGTCCTCATGTACTGTCATCAGCGATGACAACTGATATATCGTCCGGAATTACAACTGGCATTCCACCAGTAGCTTACTCATTAAGTCAAACGCCTGTGTTCAATCAGACAACATCTTCCTATTCTTTGATATCACACCCACAACCATATTCTGAAGGGCAATTATCTCTTCCAAATAGTTTAGTGTCTGTTCATAGCGGAACTCCTCCTATATCAATTCAAACGCCTCTTTATAATCACGAAAAACCTGCAGATGAACAATTTTCTAATCATACATCCGCGGAAAGTGTCAGCACAAATCGACCGGTGCAACCTGAAATTTCACCAATAGATTTACCACCAAAATGGAAGAGTGCAACAGATAGCAGAGGTAGAACGTATTATTATCATGTAAAGGAAAGAATATCGCAATGGCTACCTCCACCGCCTGATCATATCGGAGTACAACCAGACTCGTCATCTACTTCCGAATCTAGCGATGAATCTAGTTCATCGAATGAAGATGACGAAGATATCGATGATGAGCATAATGAGGATCAGAAAAATGATAATATGGAGACAAATTCTACAACAGAAAGCCTTTTATCTAGGCCAAACGTATCTAAAAAGTCAGGAGGTCAATTGATTGGAAGTTCACTGCCGTTGCCAGAGTTTAAAAAAAGAAGAGATGGTTTAGTCCAAGAAAGAATTATTAGTGTAAGTGTTATTTAATTTTTCTATATTTATTTTATATCAATATCTTAAAAAATCAAAAGTCAAAATTTAATTTTCTTTAAAAAATTATAAAAAATGTTAAATCTTAAGTGAAAGAATTTGTTTGTACTTGTATGTCATACTGTGAGCTTAAAGCTTTCAAGTTATGCAATAATTAATCGGTTGATATGTGCATATACAGCCACGTAGAGAAGAGGATCGTGTTGATCATAAAGCATATAAAGAAATAAAAGAGAAATTACGACGACAAAAAGAAAGAGCAAAAGTAAAAGACGTTGAGAAGTTAAAAAAACATAGACGAAGTAATAAGTCGAAATCTCATTCGCGACATGGATTAAGCAAGTTACAATCGACATCAGCCGAAATGCATCCTATGAAGTCTGAAAGAAGGATCAAAGAAGCATTCAGAACAAGTATGGCTAATGTGATGGTTCACTTCTTAAATCCATATAGGAAAACTGAATGTAAACAAGGTAGAATTACTAATACTGAAGATTTTAAACATCTAGCTAGAAAGGTATGATATTACATTTTTATTATCATAATTTAATTTGTGATAATCATGTGATATTCATGGTATTACACCATTACATATTTTTGTTACAGTTAACACATTTTGTACTTGCAAAGGAATTAAAGCATTGTAAAAGCGTGGATGAATTGCAATGTAATGAAAATGTTATACATAAAGCAAAAGACTTTGTACGTAAGTATATGAGCAAGTTTGGGGCAGTGTATCAAAAAGGTACAGATGAGGATTAGCCGCGTAATTTATAAAATAAAATTGTTATTTATTGCACGCGAGTTCTTCTACTTCGACTATCGTGAAATATATTTAGGTATATATGTAGATACATTTGTAATTGTACTATTGTAAAATAGGCAAATTTGTGTGTATATGCGTGATAAAGGTTTTTTCATGATTTAGCAGTTAATAAATTAGTAAATTTTTAATTTTTTCCATACATGTTATGTATAAATTTAACATCTATTCATTTATACATGCTAACTTTCTTGCACACATGTTATACCTTTTATAAATATTGTAACTTATATGCCAATACAAGTGTAAAATATGTACTCTGATATTTGTATAAAATACCATTTTACCTACCTTTTTCGGGTACAATCTATTATAAGGTTGATATACTAAATATTTATTTGTATAATGTCACAAAACAATTATCTTGTAAATAATATAATTTTTAACTGCTTTATATACTGAGTTGCTGTTATATGCTTCCTGACTTGCATAAAATTTATAAAAACTGAACACAAAATTGAAAGCAAAATCTTGCATTTAAAAATTTAACTTTGTATCATCAACATTCTATCTACATGGTACAAAAATTGATTCTGTGATGGAAATTTTTTAAATGGAAGCAATGTAAAAAATTAAATAAAACTATTGTAATGTAATTATATATTTATCAATAATAATTATAATTTATTATAATGTAATTATATATTTATTGTCAATTATAATCTCTATTTTCTTATAGCTATGTCCATTTATATATCTATTATATTTTATTAATTTTTTTAATCCGAAATGTACTTAATAATGAATATGTTTTTTACAAGATATTAATGTTTTTTAACAAAATATAAATTATTTAAGAATATTAGCAATAGGTGATTATATGTAGTTTCTATAATTTAATGACACTATAATACACATCATACAATAATACATAATAAAATAAAATATATTTTTCTTATCTTAATTAATGCAAATTTATATATAATCCAATATATTACTATTCTTTTATTTATGTATTAAATATATATATGTATATGTGATACTAATAATTATTTCAGAAATTTTTTTCAAATTTGATGTTCAATTCAGTTTTTAATGTTTCTTCTATTTGCATGGTTTCTATATTCTCAGAATCATAAGTTTAAAATTATAATTATATGTAATTGAATATTAAAGGAATATTACTTTTGAACAATATATTGAAAATACTCTATATTTAACATATACATGTAATAGTTTATTCGAAAACTTACATGTAAAAAATTAATAAAACAGTATTTTGATGAAGCAAGTTAAAAATTTTTATAAATATTTAAAAGAAAAGGTGTATATATATATATATATATATATATATATATATATATATATATATATATATATTTTTCAAGTTTTAATGTAACAGCAATCTTTTCAATAAATTTTGTTAATTTAAAACTTGAAGTTATACAAAAAATATGTAAAATTATATTCTTAAAAGTATAAAATAAAAATATACAATATACAATATAAATATAAAAATATACAATATTTCAAATTACAAAAAATTATGAAGGATACAATTTAGAAACCATTCTATATAAAAGATTTTGGATGGAAGATTTATTCTTCTGTTTGTTGAACTCTGATCATTTCTCCGTTTCTTTATTTAAATTGGCTCGGCTTAATTGTCCTAATATTTATTTTGCACATTTATCATTTTTTCTTCATAAAAGAGAATAGTTTTAACCTCAATTCAATAAACACATGTCAATCATATGCGATATGCAACCACGTGATGAATGAATGTCATGGCGCACGAATATCATGATACGATATATCCTTCTGAATCGTATTCAGAGAATACGCATTAAAAATTGGAGATTGGAAATATTGGAATATTGGAATTCGACTAATCAGAAAAAGAGCTAAAATTTCTTTATTCTGATTGTTAGATTTTTATCTTCAACCTCAATTTTCAATATTTAATACAGACTTACAGACTTTACCTGAAGCTGTCATTTAAAATTGAGTTTAAAAACTAATTACGCCAAAGTCTATGATAGCCTTGATTAATTAATGATAATTCGCATTTGTAATATTCAATGGAATTGCAACTTCATGATGCAAAAACAAGCATGTTGATCCATCACTCAGGTACGTATCAGTATGACAAGGCTTTTTCGAATATAAAAATAATGCAATTTTATGAGATTTTAACTGATTGACGGATGTAATTTACAGGATCATTGAAGGATTGCTTAAATTGATATACACAAGATGTTACGTAAAGGTGCATGTCAAATAACTAGCTCGATTCATTCGAGTTCACGTGCGGAAATATATGATATTCCAATGAATGTAATTATTAGACCTTTTCCTGCCGTTGTAAATGAAGAAAAAGTTGAAAGTTTAATGAATTCATTGAAAAATATCGATACTGAGCACACAGTACCGCCGATCGATGTTTTATGGATCAAAGGAACTGAAGGTAGGCTTGTCAACAATTTATGTAAAAAAATTTTACAACTTGTTAAATTTGTATATTATTATTATATCAACTTTCAAGCTTATGAGTAAATGAAATTAAATATTGTTATAGAAAAAATTAATATTACTGTTTGTCATGTTTAGGTGGTGACTATTATTATTCTTTTGGTGGTTGTCATCGATATACTGCCCATCAAAGACTAAATAAAAAGTCCATTAAAGCCAAAATAATTCAATCAACATTAACAGATTTACAATGTTATTTGGGGAGTTCTACTCCAAATTTAAAGTAACTTGAAAATGCATTTTATCTATACATTTATATAATGAGGATTATATATATATATATTTTTTAGATTACTAAGATAAGAATGTATTATAAGTGTATATAAAATTACTAATTTTATAATTGTTATATAACTGAAAAATATATTTGTAGTGTTACATATATTTTTGAAAATTGCAAATAACAAATCTCTTACTTAAACTATACACGTATGATTCATTTATAAGTACTCTACTATCTTTGTGAAAATGAGATTGTGACTATACAACCTCTTGTCTACAAAAACAGTAGATCAATTATGATTACATACATGTCTATATAATGTGCATATAATTGTGTTATGATATAAACAATTATATTGTTATATTGTATTACATCATACAATTTGTATTTTTCATATTTTTTTAAATTATCAGACTAGAAGTATACTTCTTTTTCTTCTTATATATATATAATTTTAGCATTCTAGTACAAAAAATCTTAAAATCCTTAACTTGTATCTTCACATTAAATTAAGTGTTTTCTATTTCGAAATTTTCTATTTGTTTCTTTCATAAAGTATGGTTTGTAATTTCTGGTAATATTAGCTATAGATGAATTAACTATGTCCTCAACAGAGTGAGATCGATTTGATTGACTTGTAGATTTACTATTTCGCAAGTGAACAGGTATGATAGACTGTTGTAAATGTAATACTTGTGTATTTGTGACTTCACAATCAATTTGCATCATAGTTATATGATTAGATGGCGTTGAAAATGTGCCTGAAACAGAAAGATATTATATAGATGCATCATTTGTTTAATTATCTATTGTATGAAATATGAATATGTTTTTTGATATGATTCTAAATTGTTAGATATATTGAAATAGTTCTGTATTCAAACAAAGTTTCATGTTTATTATATCAATAGTATTTACTGTCTATAGATACAGCAGGTAGAACTAGAGACATTTTAGGTCTTGCTGTATCATTTTTCCGAGAAGCTGGTAATAATAAATGTTCGCCACTAAACCAGACAACATAAAACGTATCATCTTTTCTTCCCAAAGCTTCAAATAGAGAAGTATGTTTGCTTAATATTGGGGAGAAGATTTGAATCGCATTATTTGAATGTTGATCAGGAATATCAATCATTTTATGTATAGTTTTTATTTTTTTATCTCGCGGTAAATACAGTTTTCGTTTTGCCTTTTCTTCCAATTGTGATCTCGATGACGAGAGCGCATTTGATGAATTTGTTTTTAATTCCATTTCCTTTGCGGACCGATTATTTCGATCGGATTCACCATCGATCCAACGTCTCAATTCGCTGTCTAAACGTATCAATTCGCTCTGATTAATATACATTGGACACATTAGTTGATGTGCCGGCACACTTTTATTAAAATCTTTTTCCATTTGATCTTCCATATTGTTTTCATTTTCATCTATTGTCCAGAATAATCTTCTATTATGTCTGATTTCTGTATCTGGAATAGCTATTGGTAAATTATCAGAATCAGTTTTCAAATGTACACTTTGCGAAAGTGTTCCCCTTGAACAGAAATAAAAAAATACATTTTATTTATATTTATAAAATACAGTAATAATTTCCTGGTCACAAAACAAATTTAAAAAAATTTTTTAAATTATGAAATATCGCAATTATTTCCTTTTCCTTATTTTCTGAACCTGAAACTTATTTAATATTAAAAGTGAAAATAGTTAATTTTATAAAATATTTCTGCCTTATTCACTTATTCATTCTTCTTTTTCACCTTTAGCAAAATATCAAGATAATTTTTATAAGATAAACACACAAAAGTTTGCATGTGTTTTAACAATAAGATGTCATGAGTTAAATCGGTTCTGACAAAAATCATATGTTAATTCATAGATAGAGGAAAACACTTACTTAAGACCATGAATGTTAAAAGATATTATGAAAATCATTCCTACAAAAAGAACAATATTCCTCTGTCCTTTCTTTTTGAATAAAGGTTTAAAACTTAAGTGTTTACGTTTATATTTATTATCATTTATAATACTGTCCTCCATTTCAAATAATTTTTGTTTTAAAGTCATGTTTTCCTAAAGGATAATTATGAAAGTTAATAACTTTTCAGTAAAAATCATTTATATTTAGAAATAGGTAAAAATTTAATACATATATTTCAAGAATGAATTACTTACTGATTTTAGTTGTATATTTTCTTGCACCAAATCATCTATTCGTTTCTCCAAAGAAGATACATATTCTTTTTTCTTTTTTCTTGAGAGACTAGCAGACTCCCTATTTCTTATCATTCTTTGTTGTCTTTTAAACGCCTTTAATTTTGGATCATCTTTCGACAAATTCATGAAATCGTTTTCTTCATTTTTTACAATTAATGAAATTGTTTCATCTTGCATTATTTGAACTGGTGTGCAATTTATTAGTTTACTTGTATTTATAGATTCAACAGTATTCTTTGGACAAATATCTGATGCAGTGCTAATTACTTTCACATTCTGTGGTAGATGAAACAGTGGGGTTTTTGTTCCTATATCAAATGATTTAATATTCAATGAATTTTGTCTTTAATTCTAACATGTTTGACCTCTAACGTTTCGTTTCTTTGTGTATGATAATATTTGAAGTTTTGAAAGATACAATGCATATTGTGAATTTGTGTTCTACGTAAATATTGTAAAATTTTGAAGAATAATAGTATTTTGAGATTCATCAAATATTTAAAAAAAATTGCGTTTGCGCGCGCGCGTACAAACATACACACACACAACAACATATACATGTAAAAATAATCTTCTGATATATATACATATATGGTGTATCATATTTAACTTGAAAATAGTAAAAATAAAAAAATAGTAGCATAAAAATTTAATATATAATTTCTTAAAAATAAAATAAACAAGTCTCGAGATCTTAAAATAACTAATTATCAATAACCAAAACTTTGTTTTTTTTTAAACAAAATAAAATACTGATTTTCGTAGTTTTAATGATTGATAATATTATTAATTTAATTAGTACTTCCAAAAATAGTGAATATTTTTTTTTGTTAATAATAGCTAATGCAAATTATTAAGAAATTCTATCATAAGATTATAGAAATTATAGAGAATTTTAAATAAATGCTTTTAATAAATTTTCAAGAGTATAAATGTAAATAATTGAAAATATAAATAATATTTAATAGTAATAATATTTAATAGTAATAATATTTAATAGTAAATAATATTTAATAACACACATTATTATTATATAAAAATTATTATTAATATACATGCATGTCATTTAAATAAACAAATTTTTGATTATGATATATTAAGAGTAAATGATTCATTTTATTACAATAAAATAATATTTCTTTTACTCCTGACAACTTGATATCAAACATCTATTTCTCTTAAAATGCACACATTGCCTACCTTATGTATGTGTGTGTGTGTGTGTGTATATACATATACAAAAGTAATATAATATTTTTACCATTTTTCATGTAGTGTGCGACATCTACTGGTAAAGACTGGATATTAACAAAATCCTTTTTTGTGCGAACAAATTGCGCATGTTTTGCATCTTCCTCATTAACAGATAAAAATTCAACTGGTTGTATTACATTTGATACATTTAAAGATGATTGAAATGATTGTGATGAGGATGTATATTGTATACAGGAAATTAGTGGTGATTCTAAAGAAAGCTAGAAAAAAATATTGAATTGTTAAATATAACTCAGAATATAACTTTTATTATTCTCTATGTATTTTTTAATATATAAAATACCTCTGTGTCCATATTTTGTGTTAAATAATTTGATTCTTCTTGCATTAAACATCTTGTTTCTTGTTTATCTGAATCATTAGATTCTGAATGATTTGGGCTATAGGATGATAATGAAAGTTGTGCATCAGGACTTTCAGGTTCCAATTTAACTTCATTCCTTATTTCATTTATTTCACCTAATTCTATGAATTTCAAAAAGTGAACAAATTATTTCTTACAGATTGTATATTTTTTGACACATACCTGAACTATTTTGTAAAAAATTTAAATCAAATTCTTTAAAATCTGATAAATCCAATACATCTTTTTCTGTTTTATTTGCAATCTTATCATAATCTGGAAATATTATTTCTTCTTCTTTTGATGTAATTGGTATTTCTAATTCGCTCCTCCATGATTTAAACAAGTCGTCAAATTGACAGTTTTCTTCTATAAATCAAATCATTTGAATAAATGTTAAAATGAATTCAATTTATCTGACTTCATTTGAATTTCAATAAATCAAAATACTTATTTTTGTAGAAATGAAGAATTTAAAAGTAAAAATCATTTGATACACCACAAAAAGAATAAATGCTAAACATTCTTTAAAATTAGAAAATCTATCATATATCTTTGCCTTTGATTTTACATGAAAAACTCAAATAAATATATTTTTGTTAAAGTTTAATAATATAAACGGAATAAGCTAAAGAAAATATTTACTATGTGCACGCAAAACAAACATAAAAAATACATTTAAAGCAACTAAGATATTATTTATATGATAAGCGAGACGGAAATTATTGATATATGTCAAAAATGTTATATATATATATATATATATATATATATATATAATTTAATTAAAATTTTGAATTAATTGATACTTAACCTAAAAATTCGAAGCCTGGTAACATTTGTATATTCGATATCTTCGATATCACGCTACACTGCTTGCTGTCAAAGTATTTTGTACGTTTTTCACTGAATGAGATACATGTAATGGAAAGCTTGAACTTTTATGTATATCAGAACAAATTTATGATTGAAAAAATTCAAAATTGACTCAATAATATACGTTGAATACTGTGTAGATCTCATCAAAATTAGAAAAAATGTAAATATACAGTTAAATATAGAAATTATAAATATATATATATATATATACACACACACACACACCTAACATAATATATATATATATATAAACAAATATATAATTATATCGGTAATAACATAACTGAAGTTCACTCTACTGAAAGAGCAATGAAAGATAAATGATGTTCTTATTTCTAAAGGTAAGTCTTCATATATTATTTGACATTTGACGTTTATTTTTAACGTCAAAAGACACCACGTGATTAAAAAATGACGAATTGGTATCTTTATTCTTAAGGCGTCTTTAGATGGAAGCGTTTAGCGTCAAGCGTCGAGCGTCAAAAACACGTGCGCAGCACCCTTGCGCATAATTCTGAACAGGCAGATTCCAGCATCTTGACGCTAAAACCGCTAAAACAATGTCTAGTAACAAAATTTTAATAAATACGGTAGAGGTAAGTAGATTGTATATTCTTAATAGAAAATGTATTAATATATATAATATATAATAAATATAATAGATATAATAGATATAATAGATATCATTATACAATATATATTATAGAATTGCGCGATTAGTAGCGTATTACAACATAACCAAACAGAAGGAATAATTGGCATAAATATATGTTTTCTAAATACAACATGAATATTATTTATTACAATGTATTCTTTGTATAGGATATAACGTGTGGAGTGTGCACGTAACTTTTTTTTGTTTCTTATATTCATGATTAATAATGCTGCTGCATTCTAATAACCATTGATGATAACGATAATTAACTGACATTTTATTGATAATATTTGATAATAATGATAATATTGATAATATTGATAATAATGATAATATTTGATAATATTCCGCAATTTAGATGATTTACTGACTGCTCCAGCGTTTCAACAAATCACTAGGCACACTGCGCATGTCATACTTTTTGACGCTTTAACGCTCGACGCTAAAACGCTCCTATGTAAAGGCACCTTTAAGTCACATGTTTTTTGATGCTGGAAAATGAAATGAGCGTCGAGTGTCAAGTGAAAACCTACCCTAACGTTACATCGAATTTCTTGTTATTTTCATGAACAATGTCACGCGGCAGAAAAAAATAGCATTTACGGGCACAACGATTTTTAATCAAGTGCCATTTCTGATAAATAGAAGACCGTGGAATAAGCTTATCATCGTTCGTTTCAGCAATGTCGATTGAGCGTGCTGATAATGCGAGCTGTGTTCCGGTTATTTAAATAATTTTTTCAGTCGTAATTTTTTTTTCGAAATGTCGAGACTCGTTGCTGAAAAATTGGCACTTGTTACCGGTTCGTAGAATTTTTCTTATTTAATTCAGTTTAATTGGATTTTTATTAAAAAATTTCAGAGAAATAAATAATAAAATTTGTCCATGTAATCGTTACTCAGCAAGTAGAATACTAAAAAGTATAAAGTACAGGAAATCTTATCCATTCCTCTATTGCAGGTGCTGGAAGCGGTATCGGAAGGGAAGTATGTCGAGTTTTGGCTCGCGAAGGCGCTAATGTTATCGCAGCCGATCAGAATATCAAAACTGTTCAGGAAACTGTTGCTACTTTAGAAGGTTTATATATATACATATATCCTTATATCAGGGGAAAGAAAAAATTTTTGAAACTGATACAGGTTCATTTTCATATGTTTACAAAATTGTATAATTTTTTATTTTGGAATTTTATTTATTTTTCTATTCCCTTAATTCCCAATAGTTAACTCTATTTTACGATTATTAATTTGCTACATAGTATATTTTTGCTTGCAGGTGCTGAACATATTGCATTGAATATTAATGTTGGTGACCGAAACAGTGTCGAAACAGCATTTAAAGATGTTGTAAAGCAATTTTCAAAGCCACCTACCATTATTGTTAATTCAGCAGGTGTCGCACGAGCTAACTTTTTAACGAAGCTCAGTGACAGTGACTTTGATGATGTCATCAATGTCAATTTAAAAGGTACTTTTCTAATCATGCAAATTGCTGTTAAAGCAATGATAGAGGCAAATACAACCAAAGATTCTTCAATTATCAATATAAGTTCAATTATTGGTACACGTGGAAACATTGGACAAAGTAATTATAGCGCATCAAAAGCTGGAGTAATAGCTATGACAAAAAGCGCTTCATTAGAATTTGGACAGTATGTATTAGATACATATCTTAATTAATTTATTTAGAAAGTTTGCTAACATGAGAAATAACTGTATTATGTGTATTCTACAGATTCGGAATTCGGGTAAACACAGTATTACCTGGTTTTATAGAGACTCCTATGACTGCAATTGTACCTGACAAAGTTAAGGAAATGTTTATGAAAAGAATACCACTGCAAAGATTTGGAAAGCCTCAAGAAATAGCAGAAGTTATCGTGTTTTTAGCTTCTAATAGGAGTTCTTACATAAATGGAACCTCTATTGAAATTACTGGAGGACTAAATTAAGTTTTACTATTCAATCATACATGTACACATTAGGTGTACCATATAAATAGGCTATTAATCAAATATTATACATATATATATATATATATATATATATATACATATATATGTATATGTATATACAATATATATAATGTTCACTTTGTTATAGTATATCTATTTAATTCGCGACAAAATTAAAAAATTTTATTTAAAATTTATTTATATATTTTTATATATTTTTATATATTTAAATATTTTACATTTTGCATATCCTAATATGTTTTCATATGTATTTCGTATACGTTGATATTTTATTTCTTTGTTTTCTCTATTATATATGAAATTCTATAATACTATATAGGAAAATAATTATATAATAAAATTACATTCTGAATTTTGTCGCGAATTTAGAAAATTCAGTTTTTAAAAACATATTAATATATATTTTTTAAAGAAATATACAATTGATGTATGTATATATATATATATATATATATATATATATATATATATATTTATATAACATTTATATAACATTATATTTTTATAACATTTATTATATTTTTATGTTAAGAAAGGGATATATAAAAGAGGAATACATGTTAAAGAAAGGGATATATAAATAAAAAATTTTCAAGCGTGTAAAATATCCTATAATAATTGTGATAAATTACTTCCTTTTTCCTTCTTTCATGCTTGTGTTTTTTATATTCTTTTTCTTTTTATAATTTCGTTATATTTACGCTTATATTATATTTTATGAACTTGGTAAAATATTAGTAAGTTCTCTCTGTCCATACTATATATTTATGTATTTATTTATTTGTCATCTTTTTCTTCTCTCAACATCATTTATTTATTGATTTATTTAGCTTGCTATATAAGTCAGTCTTTTAAAATGCAAAACTAAATATTTTAGAATTTGACTTTGGAAAAGCGCGGTAAAACAATAAATTCGTATAAATTCAAATAATTAGCATATCGAAAGGTTCCCAGACAGCACAAAAAGACCAAAAGATGTCTAAAGGACTTTAAGACATCTTTAAGTCGTCTTTTAGATGTCTTTTGGACATGTGTGCTGTCTGGGTTCCGTGATGAATTGTTTCATAAATAATCATGATAGGCCGTCTACAATAGGTAATTTAAGCCTTAAGCTTTAAGAGATTGACCAATCACAGTCAAGTATGAAGAGAATACTCGATTGTGATTAGTCAATTTCTTAAGACTTAGGGCTATTGTTAAGGCCATTGTACAATGGCCGTAGCATAAGGTTGTAAGACGTAAGACTCAAGAAATTGACCAATCATAGTCAAGATTAAGAGAATACTCGACTGTGATTGGTCAATTTCTTGAGTCTTACGTCTTACAACCTTATGCTACGGCCATTGTAGAATGGCCTTAAGGATCGAATGACGCTGTGTTAACTTGTATCGCTAAATGGAAAGCATCGTTACAAGAAAAACGGTGGCTGGTCAGGCCCTCTTAGGCTTTTCTCTGTCTATGTATATCTTGTATCTTGCACGTGGTCTAAAAGACGTTGTTTGATGAATCTCGTAAAACGTTTCAACAAAAATAATATCGATTTTTAAAAACGATTTATATAGAAAGCTATTGACCTTAAAATCGCATAAAATTATGTAAGTACATATCAATTATATGTATTTGTTTCCAGCATCATTTTTTATTATCTTATTATCTTATTACATATGCTGTTAGAACAATTAATTCATCAATTTATTCATAGGTGTTAAAGATGGTTAGACATAACAATCAATTGCCGGATAATCTTCCACAACTGCAGAATCTTATTAAACGTGATCCAGAGTCTTACAAAGAAGAGGTCAGTCTTCAGTTATATTTTTTTTATGAATTAGATTATCATATTATTGTATTTGATTCTAGCCCTTTCTGCATATAGCATATTGCAATTGTAAAATACAATTGTAAAATAATTTTGTATAGTTGCGTATTATCCTGATATAATTTATATCTTTTTCACATATATATATTTAAAAATTAATTAATAAATTAAAAAGAATTAATGTGTTTGTTCACAGTTTCTTCAACAATATCTGCATTACAAATCTACTTTAGAAGTCTTTCGTTTGGAACCTACACAGTTTAACAAAAGTCTCGATGAATTGATAACCTTCTTGGCTCAGGTTAGCACACATAATTAAATTCTAAAGGAGATAAAAATATATATTATTTTTTAATTAAATATCATTATTCTCACAAGAGTATAATTTCATCAAACCTTGTGCTTGTTTTTGTTAGACAAGTGTAAGACAATCAGTAGGTGATAAAAATTGATTGTGATTTGATATTATTTTTCACATAATTTTAAAGTGTAATATAAAGATGGAAAAATATTTAAAAACGATAAAAAATAGCATTATATGCCGAAAAAAAATCATAGCTGAACTGTATTCTTTAATTGGTACAGCAAATGAGCCAATGCCAGAAAGTATATTTATATATGGTCATATGGCTACTGGAAAATCATTGATTGTACAAAGTTTACTTGATTATTTAAAGTATAATGTTAGCTATATTAACTGTATGGAGCATTTAGGCAGTAAACATATATATAACTATATATTAAGCGATTTAACTGCATTTTCAAAAGAATCGAGTACTGATATGTTACTGAAATACAATTGCGACAATATTATGGATTTTATACTCGTGCTTAAAAAAATTTTTCACAAAGATACACGTCCAATTGTATTAGTATTTGACAAATGTCATAGAATAAGAAATTTTGATGTAACTTTTTTACCAGCGGTCTTAAGACTTAGAGAACTGTCCTGCGTTAATATATGTACAATTTTTATAAGCGACATAACATGGGATAATTTTAATACTAAGATAGGTATGTTGAAGCCTATAAAGATATATGTTCCACAATACACAAAGGAAGAGTTAGTACAATTGTTATTATTAGACAAGTTAGCGAAATACGATGCAGACTTTTATAAGAATTATTTGAATCTCTTTCTTTCCGTATTCTTTCGATTTTGTAGAGATCTGAATGAACTTCGACACATGGCCAAGATAAATTTTGCCAAATATGTAGAACCTGTAGAAAATAAGCGTATTGAACCAGATAATGTTGCTGCACTGTGGCGTAATATTTCCCCTATTTTGAAATCTAATTTAGAAATAATTTATCTTAGAGTTTCCACGAACGATTTTTTACAACCTGATCATCAAATATCTCAAGAAATTGAGTCGACGACAAAATTAGCTTTGAGTTTCGAATTACCATTTTACGCAAAATATATGCTAATTGCATCATATTTAGCTTCGTACATTCCTGCAAAATATGATAAAGATATTTTTATGAAACAACGTAGTAAGAAAAAGAAAAAAGTACGGTCATTTAAGAAATCGGGAAAAATAGATTCGCAAAAGAAATCTTCGGCTTTTACCATCTCGAGGATGCTTGCGATCTTTTGCGCTATTCTTGAGGAAAAAGTAGACATCAATGCTAATTTGCTCGCTCAAATATCTACCATGTGCCAACTTGGCTTATTGTCTGCGGTTGGAGATAATGTTTTGCAGTTGGACGAACCAAAATTTAAATGCTGTGCTAGCCACGATTTTGTTACAGTTGTAGCTAAAACGGTTGGTCTTGATATGAAAAATTACTTAAGTGTGAACGTATAAATTAAATGCACTTGACATACATGATTCATGTTTAGTTATAATGTTTGTTTATTTTCATAGCTTTACCTAATGCTCTTATTAAATTTTGATTATAGAAGACTTTAGTGATGTAAAATTGCATATTTTTATATCTAAACTAAGATTTAATTTTCATGTATTGAGTACACATAATAATTTGTAATGCATGAAATAAATTTAGTATGAAGAATGTAGTTTTGTGTAAATTGTTCGAATAATTTAATTTTTCTTAAAAAAAAAGAGACAAGAGAATTTTGAAACCATATTCATTAATAAAATTCTTTTTTTTTTCTTTCAATATAATATATTAATTAAACAATGATAATTATCGATTGCATACATAAATATATTGAAGATAATAATGTAATATAATAATTTATATATATTAATTACATATCATTTTTTATAATTTTAAGAAATTGCTCAATAAAATACACATATGCTAAACACGTTTGTTATGTCGTATCATTTTTCATGTTATTGCAGGTAGCCCATTGTTATCCAGATGATTTAAAAACATATCCTCAAGAAATTGTTGATATATTACAAACTCATAATACTATATTAGACAATGAAATGCGTATGGTAAGTACGTTATATGTATTATAATTACATTATGTAAATACGATGGTTCATGTGTAACTGTTTAGTGTACTTAATTATATTTTTTACAGACATTCTGTAAAGCATTGATCCAGCTGCGCAACAAATCACTTTTAGAACCTATTGCACTTCTCAGTTTATTTTTTGAACTTTTAAAATGTCAAGATAAAATTTTAAGACAATTTCTCAAAGTGCATATAATCACAGATATTAAAAATGTCAATACAAAACATAAAAATACTAAAGTTAATACAGCGCTACAAAACTTTATGTTTTCCATGTTAAAAGATTCTAATGCCAAAGCTGTGAAGATGTCTATAGATATTATGATAGAATTGTATAACAAAAATGTTTGGAATGATGTTAAGACTGTTAATGTTATAGCAACAGGTTGCTTTTCTAAAATAACAAAAGTAGTAGTTGCTAGTTTAAAATTCTTTTTGGGAACTGATCCAGAAGACAAAGGTAGTGATGATAGTGATTCAGATGATGAACCAAATATGAAGGAAATTATGATGGCTAATAAAGTAAATAAAAAAACAAAAAAACGACAGAAGCAATTACAGAAAGCTAAACAATTATTTGTGGTAAATATTTTATATAAGTAAATTATTTATAGTATTTGTATTTAAATAATTTTTTTTTATGCAACTTATCATAATATTTATATATCGAATAATATTTATATATCAAAAATACATACTATAACTTTCAGCTCTAATGTGTATTTCAGAAAGCAAAAAAGAAGAAATCTAAGGCCCCACAATATAATTTTTCAGCGTTACATTTAATTCACGATCCTCAGGATTTTGCTGAAAAGCTGTTCAAACAGTTAGAAAAGAAAAATGATAGATTTGAAGTTAAGCTAATGATTTTAGATGTTATCTCTAGACTCATTGGCTTGCATAATTTATTTCTCCTGAATTTTTATCCATATATACAAAGATTTCTTCAACCTCATCAACGAGGTAAGATTAATAATGTAATTATCATTAAGTCATATTATTTGATTAAATTATAATACAAATTGATTCAGTAATTGACTAAATTGTTATATAAATTGACTTAATTGTAATTATATTACTTTATTAGTATTTTTCTTTGTTCCAAATCATGAAAAAAACATTCATGTAATTTTCTCAGATAACATATCTGCTTTTTTCAGAGGTTACCAAACTCTTGCAATTTATAGCACAAGCTTCCCATGAATTGATACCACCTGATGTGTTAGAACCGGTCTTAGAAACTTTAGTAAATAATTTTATAACAGAAAGAAATTCCGCAGACGTGATGGCTATAGGGTATATAAATCATTTTTAATTATTCATTATAAATACATTTTTATTGTATCTATATATGTCTGTTCTATTTATATAAAATATATATCCACAGTCTAAATACCGTACGCGAGATATGTACACGATGTCCATTGGCCATGAATGAGGTTCTACTTGAAGATTTAATACGATATAAACAGTATAAGGAGCGTTCTGTTATGATGGCAGCGCGTTCTCTAATTGGAACATTCAGACGTCTAATGCCTCATTTATTACGTAAAAAAGACAGAGGTCGTCTTACAGAAGCCAACATTATGATAAAGCCTTCAAAATATGGTGAAATTCAAGCAAATGAGTTCATATCAGGAGCAGAAATTCTTTATGATCAACATACCGAGAGTAATAAAGATACTGATAGTACAGAAGTAAGAAATGATGATGATGATGATGATGATGATGATGACGACGACGACGACGACGACGACGATAATGATGATGATGATGAATGGTTTGATATAAGCCAAAGTAGTGAAGAAGAAATCAGCGATGATGAATCGACAGCAAAGGATATAGAAACGACGAAATCTTCCATTAATGAAAATGACGATAAGAATTTATCTTGTAGCGAGAACAATAGTACAGAGAATAGTACAGAGAATATTTGTGAAGCAAATAGCAGAAAACGAAAAATAAATGAAGTCTTACAAAAGAAAAACATCTTAACAAAGCAACAAAAGAAGGCACAGAAATTAGAAATGAAGGAAAAGCATAAGTCAGAACAAAATGTGGATTTAACAACTGAGAAAAAAACAAAAGCATCTCTAATTTCCATTGAACGATTGCTCACGGATAAAGATTTTAGAAAAATTGATATCGCATTAGCAAAGCAACAAGTAACATTCGCTAGAAGCGGCATTAAAAGAACGCACGATCAAATTGAGAGGAATCAAAATGGAGAATTGGTAAAATTAAGCGATATAGAAAATATATATAAAAAACGCAAACATGACAAGGCTGCTCGACAGGAATCTGTAAAAGTATGTATAAAATATTATATTTTATTATTTATACATAATAGAGAGAATAATATTAACTAATTTAAATATTATTAAACTTGTAGAAGGGGCAAGAACAAAGAGATAAATTTGGTTTTAAAGATCGGCGACAAAATGCAATGTGCAGTAGAACGAATCGTGAGAAGAGGAAAGGAAAAGCATTCTCAATGCTGAAACAGAAATTAAAAGGAAAAGTAAAACGATCCTTTAGAGAAAAACAGATAGCTCTAAAAAATCATCTGCTCAAACAAAGAAAAATGAAATAATTGATATATTGTTTAGCTCCTTTTTCTATCTCTTTCTCAATAATAATAAATTAATTGTATATATGTATAAAAACATCTCTATATCCTAACTAAAAATAATATTCTTATATAACTACAAATGCGTTACTTACATTTTATTCAATGTTATGAAAAAATGTTCTTATAAAATTATATATATATATATATATATATATATATACATACATATACATACACATGTACCAACAGCATTATTAAGAATATATATATAAAAAATGAATTTAAATTGATATTATAGAATTTATTTTTCATGCTGCGTTTATATAACAAAATTATTCAAAGTATTTTATTGTGAATAAATGGATATTTGCACAGATTTGATACTTGATAAATGTATACTTGAAATTTGATAATTGCATACTTTTGTTATATATATATGAATATAAAGTTTTTTTGTGAGATTTATAGAAATATCAATTCTCGATTTAAAATAAAAAGCTCAAATTCAAGCGAAGTAAAAAATATAAAGAATATGTTTTAATTAAAAAGAAAAACAAATTATCTTTAATAATTTTGTAAGAATTTTAAATTGAATTTAATATAAAATTAACATAAAATTTCACATACGAGTCTTTGTTAATTTTTCTTTAGACAAATGGGATTTATATTATAGTTGAAACTTGTCATTAACAATTAAATTATTGAACCGAGATATATTCATAATTCTAAATTTTCGATTTATATTTGTAACATTGATGTGCGCTATTCTTTTGGTCCAATTAATCGCCAATCGCATTTGGAAACAAAACAGCATGACCAATGACAGTCGTCGCCATACTTGACCATAAAAGGAAATAAAAAAGGAGGCTCCCATTTTATTACTATTATTATTATTCGTCGTTGTACGCTGTTGCACGCGGTTTCTTCCCGGTCGCTTTCTCTCGTCTCTTATTACAAGCAACGCGAATTTAATCGGCGATCTCTTTACAATGTCGACGGTAGCGAGTCCTTTAGCCGTTGGAGGCATCCGACAATCGGGAGCGCCGGTGCGAACACAAAATGGTAAAGATGCTGAAAATCCACAAAGTTTGGTTAGATGTCTTGGAACTTTAAAATGAATTTCATGCGTCATTTTGACGATTGTTTCATTTTTAAAAAAATGAAAAATTTTTAAATTTACGTACAATTGGAGTCGCAAATGTTACAAACGACATATTAATCACTATTATGTTTTATATATAACAAAATTGTACATAGAATGCTCGATAATCTGGAGGATAAATGATTATTTAATGCAAAATATAAGATAAATTTTTAATATTATATATACATATATATTTATAATGATTTTCAATTAAAATTTCACATTTGTTAAACTATATTTGATTGTATATGTAACAGCTGATTTAAAAATGCCATTCTTTTAAGAGTACAAATCAATTTAAGAGATTCAAGATAGAAATTATAATAAAATAAATACCTTGCATAAATGTACTTGGATAATAATTAATCTTATTTAAAGAGCATATGGTAGATATAATATTTTAATATATATATATATATATATATATATATATATATATAATTTTTTACCTGTAATTATATAGACTTATATTTTAATATATAATTTTTGATATACACTATTATATATTATTAATTTATATACAACAATATATTAATTATAATTATATACAATAATATTAATGTGCATAAATTAAATATATTATTTCAGTTATGGCTGCCTCCGCTGTTGCTAATATAGTTAAAAGTTCATTAGGTCCAATTGGTTTGGATAAAATGCTGGTTGATGATATTGGCGTATGTACTATTTAGTTTTTTTGTATTTTTATAATGCATAAAACAAATATGTCTAACAAAAATATTACAAATGTCATAATTTAAGCTATAATTATATAATATTTGGGATAGGATGTCACTGTCACTAATGATGGTGCGACTATCTTACGCTTATTAGAAGTTGAACATCCTGCTGCACGAGTATTGGTTGAATTGGCTCAATTACAAGATGAAGAGGTTGGAGATGGTACTACTACAGTTGTAAGTAATATATTTATATATTTCCAAAAACTAAAATTTAAAATTAAAATAAACTATTTTAATGCAGTAATTATATTTTTTTATTAATTAGGTAATAATAGCAGCTGAGCTTTTAAAAAATGCAGATGAGCTTGTAAAGCAAAAGATTCACCCAACCTCTGTTATTAGTGGTTACAGACTTGCTTGCAAGTAAGAATTTAATAATTTATTTTATTGATTAAAATTATTTTCTTTTCAATATCAAATTAATTTCTTAAATAAATTGAATAACTTGAAAAACTTGACAAGGAAAATGTATCATGTTTTAGTTATTTATTAGTCAAAAAGTAAAAGGAAATTTTAGTTAATAACATTTTTATATGAAATTAATTTCAGAGAAGCATGTAAATACATTCAGGAACATTTAACTGTTAGTGTGGATGAACTTGGAAAGGATTGCTTAATTAATATTGCAAAAACATCTATGTCCAGCAAAATTATTGGAGCGTATCCTTTTTATATTACTCAAAATCTTTTTTTTGCACACATAATTTGTTTTTAATATTTAATAAACAATAAACGATAATTGTTTAAAGTATTTTCTGTGACTATGGTTATAATTAGTGATGCCAATTTCTTTGGTAACATGGTAGTCGACGCTGCTAATGCGATAAAGATCAACGATGGCAAGGGAGGCTTTTTATATCCTGTTAAGGCTGTCAATGTCCTGAAGGCTCATGGGAAAAGTGTTCGGGAATCAGTTTTAGTTCAAGGATATGCTTTAAATTGCACTGTTGCTTCTCAAGCGATGCCGAAGAAGATAACAAACGCAAAAATCGCATGCTTAGACTTCTCCTTACAGAAGGCAAAGATGAAGTTGGGTGTCGAAGTACTTATTACAGATCCCGAGAAACTCGAAGCCGTCCGTCAACGTGAAGCTGATATTACCAAGGAACGTATTCAAAAGATTCTTGCTGCTGGAACTAATGTTGTTCTTTTGTCTGGTGGAATTGATGATCTATGCTTAAAGGTAGAGTCGCACAATGAAAATGATTTGTCTAATTTTAGCACAATATTTATCTTTCTATTTTTTTTTTAGTATTTTGTGGAAGCTAAGGCTATAGCAGTGCGTAGATGTAAGAAAGCTGATTTGAAAAGAATTGCTAAAGCTACAGGCGCGCATTTTCTGACTTCGTTGACAAATATGGAAGGAGAGGAGAGTTTTGATGCTAGTTTCTTAGGAGAGGCTGCTGAAGTAGTGCAAGAAATGATATGCGATGACGAGCTTATTCTTATCAAAGGGTATGTCTTGTAACTTAATTAAAACATATTAAGAAATAAATCTAATTCTATTCAAGACATTCTAGGATCAAGCACACACAGTTTCCGTCATATATACACATATATACACGATTATTAATCTTTTTTTTTTTTTTTTTTTCAAATTTTAGTCCCAAAGCACGTACAGCGAGTTCTATTATTTTACGCGGACCAAATGATTATTACTGTGATGAAATGGAACGCTCCATACACGATGCATTATGTGTAGTTAAGAGAGTTTTGGAAAGCAAAAGCGTCGTCGCGGGAGGAGGTTGTGTGGAGGCTGCACTGTCCATATATCTAGAAAACTTTGCAACATCATTGGTATTATTGGATTATCTACATATTTTCTATCAGTTTTTATCTTGTTTTTGCATTAAAATATTTACAATCCTTTGCAATTACAGAGTTCTCGAGAACAATTGGCTATAGCGGAATTTGCACGATCTTTATTAATTATTCCAAAAACATTAGCCGTAAACGCAGCACAAGATGCGACTGATCTTGTTGCCAAACTTCGAGCCTACCATAATTCCAGTATAACAAAACCGGATCTTGTCGATCTGAAATGGTAACAACTTTATGATTTTTCTAATTTTTGTAATTGCTAATTAAAATAAATTATTTACACATGTGTTCTTGCAGGGTGGGTCTTGATTTACTCGTAGGAAGTATAAGAGATAACAAAAAAGCAGGAGTGTTAGAACCAGCCATTTCAAAAATAAAATCTTTGAAATTCGCCACTGAAGCGGCTATAACTATTCTTCGAATCGATGATATGATTAAACTAGATTCCGAACGTTCGAAAACGAAATCTTATCAAGATGCTATGGAAGCCGGTGAATTGGAAGATTAATATTAAAGTGCATTTATCTGTTACATTAAAAATGCGTTTATACAAAAATAAAACACATAAAAAATTATAAATCTTTTCACTGCATATATGAATGTCACAATATAATAAAAAAATGTAGATTGTAATTTAACGTGTAACGACGTTCTCGTATATGACGCACTGATTCTTATGATGTCACATGCGTGATAGAAATATGCCGTAGCGATACAGTCTGGAGATAAAATAAACTGTAACGGTTTTTGACCTCACAGCGATAGTAAACGTATTAATTACTAATCTAATATCTATGATTTATTGTTCATATACGTACATTGCACATATATCAATTTTTGTATGTGCATAATCTGCTATTTAAAAATTAAAAATAAAGCTTTTTCACACTATGATGCTGTACTTATTGATTACATTAACACAGAATAAAGATAACATAGAATATTTAAATAAACCTTTAATTTTGTGGTTATTGAATTTCTATTAAAAATTAAAAGATATTAATTTTCTTTCTTTTAATTTATATAAATAAACTTTTACAGAATTGTAGTTGATAATCGTGATATATTTATAATACATCAATAATATATTTTACTTCTATGCTAATTATATTAATGTATCATCCAAAGATGCTTATTTATTACAATGAAATAATATGACCATATGCAATAATAAAAAAGAATGTAAATATTGTGTAATAAAATATTAATATAAGCCTATTTTAGGCTCAAAGATGTCACTTATACATCATGTAAAAAATAGAAATAATTATATAAAAGAATATTTTAGTAGAACTTAATATAAATTATTATATATATATTTATATGTAATATATATAGTATAACAGTTCATTAATGGAAAATAATGGAATAACAGTTTTAAGTATTATATGATATGTATGTTTATAAAGTTCAATTTCATTAATAAACAATATTATATATAAATATTTATTTTTTTAATAAATTTTTTGATGAGCAGAGATTTTTAGATGTTATCTATAATATATTTGCTACATCACATACACATGGCAGTTAACTGATTTTTTTGTTAAACTTAATGACATTATTAAATTATTTTTTTATGATTATATTTTAACAATGCATTTTATATGTTTATTTAAAATGCAAACTCGCGACTTTATTGCAAAATTTTGATGCTAAACAATTGACTTGCTAAAATATGTTGTTTGTTTTTTGTAACATTTTTCATAAAATAGATATATAAGTGCAACAATAAATCATTAAACAATCATTAATCTTCTTTGATACTGTAATACTCAGTACTTTTAGAAAATAGTTAATATCACAATTAAATCATGTGATTTATCTATTTAATAATCCTTTTATTCTGCAAGTAGATGTTGCAAAATATTTTACAATAAAGTGCTTCTCATGAAATTCACATGACTTACAAGTGAGATATTATGAAAAGAAAAATATAAATTTCATGTTTTTTATATATTTAAATATTTTTTCAAAGACAAAAATAGAAAATATGTGTTTTACTATAAATACAAGACTAATATATAAAATAAAAATAATACATAAAATTATTATTCACAAATAGTTAAATCAAGTCTTCCATTAATAACTGTTTACATTACAAATAAGTGTATATATAAGCACTATAAATAATTTCTCTTGACAATTAATATTCTTGGAACTTGTAAATTAACAAACTAGAAATATTTCACTGCATTAAAATCTTATTATGTCCTACTTTATTAAATTTTTCAAAATTAATAATTATATCAAAATTTAGTAAATTGTGCCAATAGCATGTCTATGGTATTGGACCTTCTTGTAGACTTCAGTCACTAATAATAGTAAATATGTATATATGTTGTAAAATATTATTTAACTATTTATTAATTTTATTTAACCCTGTTTAGATTGGTGAGTGATGAAAAACATGATTTTTGGAAAAACAAAAATTTAGCAAGATTAACAAGAAGAGTCCATTTAAATAAAAAAAGAAAAAAGTAAATTGTGATGTAAAGAAATAATGCAATGTTATTAATAGAATCGTGTAGCAATGGGCACTTAATTGCAATTTTGTAAGATAGGGGAGAAAAAAAATGGAATATTTTCTTATTTTTATAAATTATTCTGTTCTTTAAAACATAATAAATTCTTTCAATACTTTTAAGATTCTTTCAATACTTAAGATTTATTTACGAAAAATGTGAATTTTGATATTTTCTGTGCGACAGAGATATCAACATTTTTTCCCTGCTGATATTCATATAAATAAGGGCAAATACCTTTACAACGCGGGATTTTCAAATTTTGGTCCTTTTGTGACTATAATCTCAGCATATGAATATTCTTGATTGAGTTCTAATACTTGGAACTTTTTCAAAACTAATAGTGTATAAAACTTCTGTGCAACCTATAAAAATAGAATTATTATTTTAGAATTATTATTTTCAATATAAAATTTCTTATAAAGAAATAAAGATATTGAATCATTTTATTAAAACACTAACCTGTTTGCGGTTATTCTTGAATGCCATATCCGATAGTGTTAATTTATCTTTGGTATCTAGTTTGCTCTTAATAACATGATACATATGCGCTGCTCTTTTGTTAAGAACGCGCTCTTCAAACTGTTCATAAGTTTCATCCATTTGTTGTTCCTCTTGCTGAAAAATATAGCATATCGTAAATAATTAGCATTTTTCCATAAATATTTTTCTGTAATACTGTAATAGTATAATTTATAATCTAAAAATAATATTTGCAATATAAAAAAAATTACAGGTCCCACAGATGGTGGAAATTCGTAATCTTCATGATTCCATGGTGTGGCGGGCCCTCTTTCTGAAATTGCACCAGGCGTATGTGCTGGTGGATGATGTTCATCATAGCCCATATACGAAACTTGCGGTTGTGCCTATTATACAATATAAATAAGATTTTTTATGTTTTAATACTAATACTAATAGAGAGAAGAATAATTATATAAAACATTGTTTGAAAATGTAATGCAATACAAGGTAACGATCAAAAGAAAACTGCATATTTAACACTCTTAAGTTGCATAATATTTTTAACATATTTTAGTCACGTGACGAGTGTTTCGACTTACTTGATCATAACCCATATTTTCCATTTGTGGCAAATCGGATGTTTGTATGGCGGGAACAGCTTCCTCTTGTGGAGGTACTTGCGCTTCTTCATGTGTATCGAGTACTGAACTGACTTCAGCTGGCGCAATTTGTGATATTTCTGAACTGAGTAGCGGTGTTTCAGTAGTTGGTGGTGCTACCACCGATGGTTCCCTAGAAGGCACAATGCTACTTATGTCAGAAACTGATGGTTCTGCTGGTAAAGGTACTTCAGACGATATAGATGATTCTGCAGGAAGATTATGTTGCGTGATTATGCTCGGAATTTCTACTGCCTCAACAGCACTTGTCGATGATTGACTGATATCCGCTGGCGTTGGTTGAGGTGGTTGAGGAGGTTGTTTTATCTATATAAACATAATATTAAATTATATTAATATTAACTATGTTTTGTAAAAATTCTTTGCCAGGAATTTATTCTATTTTTCATTAAAAATGTTTATATATATATATATATATATATATATATATATATATATATATATATATGCAAGTACTAACTTCATCATCCTGTGGCGCTTTTCGTTTTCGTCCTGTACGTTTATTGAGAATACTTTGTTCATAAGAAGATGGTTCTACTTCTGGAGCATCTCTCATTTGTTCCAGAGACATATTATCTTCCTCAGCTCCAAGTCGTCCAAAGTCTTCATGATCATAAGACTTGCTGGTTAGGTGTCTTTGATAATTCTGTTTTAATAGAACATTAGAAAATTTTAATAATATTAACAAGTGAAATGTTATGGAATATTCAAACAATTATATAATGTAAGATCGCATTACCTTAAATAGAACACGAGCTGGAATAGAACTTCCTGGTAAAGCAAAGAGTTTTTCTACACCACCTGTTTCCTTCCAATGCATCAATCTTTTTGTAGGTGGTGCCAAGTCCAATGTCGTAATAATATCACTAGTATCAGATAGCTGTGCTTTCATTTCTTCGCCAGAAATATTTTTCACTTCATCAACAATGAGTTTACGCTTGCGCTTAGTTTTTGTGAAACCTTTAAGGAAATAAATGTTTTTCCGTTGATTATTAAATATATATCAATATTAACTCTTCAACTACAGCTGTCGTCAATAGATAAGTATGAGTACATACTCCTAATTAAAGGGTTAACATAAAAATAATTTACCTTTTAGAATAGATGCATCGATCGGAGGTAATGCAAAGCTTTCTTCATCATCGTGTAACAATGTGGTTTGATCTTGTAAAGGTGGTGGTTCTTCTACATTATCAACTGCATGTTCCTCTGGTATAACTGGTGGAGCTGGTGTAAAGCGTCTACTAGCGACACTTATCCTTCCATCAATTTCTTCTCCAGTTGCAGCTGGTGTAGCCGGTCTGGAGCCGTCAGTGCTACACAGAATGCATTTTCTCAATAATCTCAAACTTTTACAATATTAAAATTTTATATAGAAAGATATATCAAGCCAAAACAATAAATACCTCATGCCGCCCATTGGAGATCCTGGACCACCAAAATGATCGCCCATATCTTCATCAGATTCATCATGCACAGATGCAGCAGTTCCAGGAGCTGTACCTGTGTCTTGTTGTTCGGTTATCGAACTAACTTCAGGTACAGGTACCTCACCCATTGGAGCTTCATCAAATAAACCGCCTTCAAAGAGACCTCCCGCTAAAGAAAAATGTTATAATTAAATTATTGTCAGGTTTGATGTTACAAGAATAATAACTTTTTATCACACCTATGATATCTTGGCCAAGATGACCACCAAAACCATCATCTCTAATAGGTGTATCTATGTCCATAGGTTGCGCTGTAGCAGATGTTCCTGCAACTGGTTCTTTTTCTTTTTGTTCCAATGCTGTTTCTATTCCTGGGCCATCACTAAACAACATGTGAGTCTAAAATTGTATTAAAACAATTAGTATTTTAAAATTACATTGTTTTAAAAATTTAGTAAAGATTTATTAACATATTCTTTGATTATCAAATAAAATTGAAATCAATTTTTAGAAAGTTTTAGGAAAAATATAAAAATATTGATTAAATAATTTTAATTATTAGATAACAAAATTTTGTCATTTAATTATCTGTAACATTTATATATCTATATATTTATATATTTATATTGTATTATCAAAATACAATATATAACTACTTTTGAAAACATTCATGAAGCATATAATTTTGCTCACCATATATATGATAATTGATGATATAGAAAAATATAATTATAACAGAAAAAGAATAAACAGTACCTGATCTAATGAAGGTTCTATACCACTACCATGTCGTAGTAATTCTGGTGGTTCTGCATCAAAACTCATGTCACCAAAACCTTGATCGTGTGTAACCAAAGATAAACTACCATAATCTTCCCTCATTGTTATTTCCTCTGCTCTAGACTGATTCAAACTAAATTGAGCTTCAATATCAACATCTCTGAAAAAAAAATAAAAGTTATAAGATAATTAAATAATGAAATATCTTAAAATACTCTGTATCATAATTGTTTATAAAAAAATATAATAATATTAACTTACTTAAGTTCAGGCATAGCAGTATCAAAATCATGAAATACTTCTGGTAAAGTGATAGCTGTTACAGCCGCTTCTCTATGTTCCTCAGGTAGATCTACCATTCCAGGCCTAAAGGCCATTTTAATCTTTACAAAAGCTTCATTGCAATCAGCCAATAAATATTTGGCTTTTCTTGAATAGATTCGTACTACTCCCAATAATAAATGACCGGATGTTCTCAAAGCCATTTTAACCTATTACAAATTTTTAAAAAGAATTTTGAAACATTAGTATTTTACAAATATTGCGATATGCTAAGGTAACACTTACCTTTGGTTGCAATATACCGTCCACTGATTTTTCTATGTTAGTTTCAAACACATGTGCCTTTGTTATTTTCTTGTCCCAATGAGCAGCCAACCATATTCGAGCCAAAGGCCCTTTTTTGGCCAACACAAAATGTGCGTAAAACATGATTCTTATCCTTCTTTAAGCTGCATCAATAAAGATTGGATTAAATTAACGAGTAGATAAAATCACATTTCTAATTTCAAATATAAAATAAGAAAGACGTTATTTAAAAAGATTATAATTAAATATTTAATAAATATTATTCTACCTAAGCTCAAAGAACTAAACACATCAGTGAATTAAATATTTGTCATTAGCAATATAATGTAACATTTGGCACGAGATGTAAGGCAAGAAATTTAACATTAGTATGACGCGTCACGCATCAATTGACGTGGAATGATACATAAAATCAACATAAAAATTCACAACGTTGTTGTTTAATTCGTGAAAATATAAACATCAATGCACAAGATGGCGTTTCCGTCTACAGTTTTGGCGGTTACGAGATAACGTTAAATTTCAGGTACATACCAGTTCCGTTTACGATGCGTACAGCTTGTCACCGAGATATCGTCCGGTCGTTAGGCCGTGCAAAGCAGCGGCATATTCTGCGACAGGAATAACTGCAACTGCGACGATCTCTCAGAATATCGGCGCATACGGTACGCTTTCGTCTTGATGCGTACCTCCAAACTGACCACGATTACGCGCGACACACGCCACACATGACACACAAGCATGCAACACACCGATTCACCGTTAAACTTGCGTTCCGAGACCCGTCTTTCTTTCGCTACCTTCGAGTTCGTAAACGTGTAATTTTAGCTACGGTCAGAAAGCTGAGGATGCTTTGAAGCGTTTGATTGACCAATCAGGTTAAAGAAATCTTTATTCCTTTTGTTTTGATTGGTCAATCGAACGCTTCAAAGCATCCCTAGATCATACCTTTAAATGATTTTCGGAGCATTTGGTCGATCAATCAAGACAAAGAAATCTTTCCTTTTTTTTATCCTGAATGGTCAATTAATAGCGTTTCCGAGTGAAATTTGAGATTGATTAACGTTAAAAATTCTATTACAGATATTTGGATTAATCAATAAAATGTTTCGAGTAAGCATTTGATTGATTAATTGAGTAAAGAATCTTGTGTTTTAAAATAATGGGATATATTTTATATTATTTATATTACTAATATTTTATATATATTAGTCAGATTCAAGATTCATTTTTGATCGGACATATGTTTATATTTGTTGTTTATGAATATATGTTTATGTTTTGTAAAATTTTTGAACGTAAATTAGATAGACTGTAAAAAAAATTTAATTCCTTTTTTCCGATTGCTTCAACTCCAATCTTCAATTTTCGATGTGTAATTCGGCCTTAATGTTTCGCAGAAGGCGAATCGTTGAAAATGCTGAATGATGATCCCCTCTCCTTAATCTTATTTTCTCGTGATCGAGAAGTCGAGATTCAGAGTTCAGACTGTTCAGAGAGATTTTCGGATGTATATAAGATTTCTAACCTATATGAGACATTGAAAATATAATTTTAATTGCACGTCGCGTTTTAAACTTTTGCATGGATATATCTCGTTATATATATGACAAATTTTATATAGCTTGTACGTTACAGCTAAAATTAACAGTAATTTTATGTCATAATTTCTAATTATTTAACGATTGATTATCATTAGCTCATACTTGGTACGATACTGAATAATTTATATCTTATTTTAGATAAGCTACTTTAACAATGGGAAAAGTTTATTCTATGTTAATACGACCTATTCGCACGTTCAATATCGAAAATCGTGCGACAAGAATCATATCTCGAGAGAAACCTATACCTGCACCTCAATATCCATCCACTGAAAGGCAAAAGAAATTGTCGGAAGAAGGTAATATTGAATTATATAATATTAATTCTTACCATATTATTGATTGACTATTAATTGAAAATTAAACTAAATTTAGAAATATGTTCTTTGATATTCTTTCTTAAGTTTGTTATGTAACTCTGTATCTTTTTGTGTTTAGTAAATCCAAATTTCATAAAAGAACATTATCAAAAGAATATGCAACTGGATCAACGCTTAAAAGATGTTTTTGTAACATCAACAGACCCACAAGTATGTGTTCTATTTTAAATTTATATCCTTAAATTTAATTTTAATATGCTAAGTTTTTGTTGGATGATTTCTCATTTGTTCTTTTTTTACTTTTAAGACTACAGTCATATTGAATTGTAATATCAGAAGTGAGAAATCATACGTTTTAGTCTTGAGACATATATTGAAATAATTTTTTTTAAATGCAATCATATGCGTTCAATAATATATGGATTAATTAAATACACCAAGACTCTTTTTAATTCGAAAATTACTAAATAATTTTATAAATCTTGGAAAAATGTTGTAAAGTCTGTTTTTTTTAGCAAAAAATGAATTACTTACTTTTATATATTTTGCAAGAATAAAATTTGTGATTTCTCGTTTCTGACATCATAATTCAATATGATCATGAGGACACAAGAGCCTTAAGAAAGACATGAAAATAATTTGTTATAAAAATATAAAGTTTTGTAATTTATTATTTAGGAAGCAATTGAGCCAATGAGAGAACCAAGGCTTTTACCTCAGAACAGAATTACACCAGAATATTCACTTGATTTTTTCGAACCTACAATGATTCCTGCAGGAAAGTGTTCATTAAAGCAAATTTTAGAATTTATTATGCAACATAAACATGATCCTGTAACATATAACAGTGAAAACATAGCAGTTGAATATAAAATAGATAAGAAAATAGTAGGTATGTAGCATTTATTTCTAATAATTAAATTAAAATTAATCTAATACTCATATATTAATATTTAAAATTTATATATTTCAATCTTTTTAGACGATATATTAAAACATTTTAAACTTTATACAACTGCAGAAAGTTCACAAACATTAATAGATGATTCATTCCAAGAAATGTTTGATGATGCTATGAAGGAAAAAAAGAGGAGGGATCTTCTAGAAAAAGAAAAGTAATATGAATATTATATATGTATATATAGAAAAATAATTTATTAAAGATTATTTGTACATATATGATTTTTTTTTCTAAATATAATTATGTAATATGTGTGAGTGTATAGCGCCTAAATATCAACAAATAAATTGGAAATAATGTATATTTTATAGTGAAAAAAAAATTCCACAACGCGCGCGCGTTAAAATATTCAGAAATTAAATGTGTTCTCTAAATTAATTATATTAATTACATTCTTATGCAATCTGATTATCTAAATAATCTGAATTAAATATTGAATGAGAAGAAATATAGTATAAACATTATAGTTTAACAAAAAATAGGCTTATCTAAAAAGTCACTACCTACTTCGTTTTCTCATATTTCTCACATAAAAGTGAATATTAGTCTTGGATTAATACCGATACGTACTCCTGATCGATTTCGAAAATTGATGTATTAATCATTCTATCATGATACCTGGAATCATTGATACCTGGAAATATTTTTTTAATGTGTTATAGATCTCGATATTGAAATGTTCATATAAAATTATTAATTATAAATTGTAATTACAAATTTTTGTTACAATCTGGATATGTCTGTGTGTGCATAAGATAATACATTAAATTGTTATAATACGGATATCATAAACTTAAGAAATACTTTGTTTATTCATCATATATAAATGATTTCTATTTTTTATATAATACATACAATATATATGATACATCATAAATATCATCATAAATATAAAATCATAAATAATATGATTGATAGAAAAATTTTGTGTTTCAATTTAAACAAACGAGCTGGAAAATAATTTTATCTAAGCATGCGAATAGATGGTATTAATAACTCTAGCTTTAAAGTTGAAATAAATTTTAAACGCACTCAGAAAGTTCTACTTCCCATCCTCTTCGCACTAAGTGCAAAGAATGAACGATCATCGACAGAGATCTCGAGCCGAGACAAAACGAGATCTCATGCCCTCACATTCAAGGAAAAGAGCTATAAACTCTTCATCGTGGTTAATTAAATAGCCGACAAATGAGTGTGAAGATATGATATATCTTAAACTTTCGTCGCTGCTGCATCCTAAATATAGTAGTGTTGGAAAATTTTGATTACGAGAAAATAGTTTTCTCTTGTGGCCATCTACTGAATTACAAAGCAATTAAATTTTTGACATTCTAATGCACAGACATGTGATTTCTAGAGCGGATAATCTTGTCGTTTGGGAATCGAGATTATTTATTATTAAGACAATATGCATATAATAAAAGCGAGAGAGAGAGTGAGAGGGGAGGGGGGGGGGCGCAATGTAGATGATGTTGATAAAGTTACAATTACAAGGTATTGTTAAAATAAAATGATTGATGTCAAACACAGAAATCAAAGCTTAATTTAAATTATATGTAATTTAAATTTTTCTAATATTATTAAAAGATTATTAATTGTTACTGTCTTTTGATTTTTATATTCTTATTATTTTGGAATCTTACAAGTATATGTAAGATATTATAAGGTGTTATATAGTGTTATATCGTGTTATATTAAGGATGTAAAACAAAACTGAGATAAAAATAATTTACTTACATCAAGTTCATCTTGCTTCATTAAACTTCAATTGCAATCCAATTGATGGTCCGCTTGAATATGACATCGGTCATCAGTCCAAAGTAATATATATATTCTCTAAATTAATTACATTAATTACATTCTTATGCAATCTGCAATAAAAATTTATACAGTATTTACATAATAATTTATAACATCGTTAATGAAATCATGTAAAAATATAGATTATTTGAATATATTGCTTACTTGCTATGATATGATAAATTGCAACAATCACAATCAAGATGTGGAATTGCTTGTGGTTAGACGGCATCGAGTGAGAATAATCAGGAAAAAAGTCCTGGATATCTAAACTTGTTTTTGGAATGGTCATAGTCTTCTCCATCATCCAGTAAAATGCTTTCATTTTTAATTTTTTTTTCAATTCTGCACCAACTTCTTCCCGTATACGTTTATTATAGTTATTTAACCAACGTCGCTGTGCGTAACACGTGTTAATATTATAATCAACACTTATTTTATTCTTTATCGTTTTTGTTTCTTATAATATATAAATTCAGTATAGTTTTAGACAAATGTGCTTAAGACCTACGTGCAATGGAGTTAACATATTGATGTCAATAAGTTTCGGTTCATAAGGAACCAGAGTAATATCTCTGAATTTGAGAAATTTTTGCCCATTATGAATCTGAAACATAACTAACAATTAGCAACTAATAATTCACATAATTATATTATTAATTATAAAATGTATTGATAAGAAAAAGTTATCATTGTGTGTTTTATGTAGGATATAATACAGAGGTAATATATAGATCTACCAATTTGCTAGCCGGAATCACTTCAAGTATATTTTCCAAACGAATTCCAAAATCGCCTTCTTTATAATATCCCGGTTCATTTGATAGGAAGAATCCTGGTTTCAATTTAAGAGAACATCCTGTTACTGAATTTTTGCATCCATAATATGCTACATGGATAGGTGCTGCAATATGTATTGTTCTATTAGAATGGCTTTTATTAATTATATTTAATCTTTTTTAGTAATTATTTTCAGAAAACTACTGATTACAAACATTCATGAACTGAAGAGAAATGACCGATTCCATGACCAGTCCCATGCATATAATTGTAACCGGTACTCCACAACGGTCTCCGTGCAATAGCGTCCAATTGATCTGTCGTTAAATCATTAGGGAAGATCAAAGACGATAATTCGATCGAACCGATCAACACTCTTGTATAAGCTTTTTTCTGCTCATCGGTCGGTACTCCAAAATGTACAGTCCTTGTTATGTCAGTGGTACCATCTGCCAAATAATTTTATTTTATACGTTTTACGTTATGTCTCGGAATTTTTTGAGTCTAATATTAAAATTAGCAAAATTATTTTAGCAAAAGAGTAAGAAAATTTGGAATTTTACCCAAGTATTGTCCTCCGGAATCAACCACTAACGTGGACGTGGTTCCGATTTTAACATTGGTTAAGTTAATTGGTTCATAATGCGGTAAAGCACCGTGCGAACCATATCCCACGATTGTCGGGAAAGCGATACCCTTATTATTATCTTGTTCGTAACGAAATTCATTGGCCACTCTCGCCACTTGCATCTCGTCCCATCCTTCAGAGTCCAATTCATATTGTTCTTCCATGTAAGCTAGAAAATCGCACATAGCTACCGCATCTCTCAGATGAGATCTTCTCATACCTGCTATTTCGACTTTGTTTTTTTCCGCTCGCAGATCGATTACAGGCGAGGGCTTAGCCAATCTCTTCTCTGGTGGAATCTACAAAAAATTCCATATACTCAGTATATTTATAAATTTTTTAATTATTGATTCGAAATTTGAGCGCATAAGATCATTTCAACGTTCAAAATATACGCATGACCGCGTTATCTCTGTAGTTACACTTACAGAATTGTATATTTCTTTAGACGCACCCAATGTATATCCATAAGGCGATGGAAGCCACACTGTGTTCCAAGCTTGAGACATGGTTTTTAAATCATACCAAATAGCCGTGTAATTGTGCCATCTGTAATGATAATAGTCAATCATTTTACTCTTATTATTACTATCAATTTTATTATTATTATTGACTATATTCAATTTCTAAGATTAGAATTAACACTTCATTGTGGTTAGATACAGAAATGAATGTGAAGATATGATATATCTTAAACTTTTATCGCTGCTGCATCTTAAATATAGTAGTGTTGTAAAATATTGATTACGAGAAAATGATTTTCTCTTGTGGCCATTTACTGAATTACACAGCAACTTTATAAAATACACATTTTTCGCTTATATAATCTTTTCATTTTGAATAAATAAATAAGAGACATATATATATATTTATAATATATTTTAAACAATGATATATATGTTTTCTAATATTTTATAATTCGCAACTTAATTTATCGGCAATTTCCGGCTACTTATTGTATAAGAACAAAATTATTAAAAAGAAAATTTGTTAAATTATTCCCTGAGTCCGAATAATTTTACAAGAATTTCTTCACTTCTTCAGATACAAAAGAAATGCCTATAAAAATTCTAGATTTTCTATATTTTTCCAAGGAATGCTGCTCACTCACTTGACGCAGTCCGCGTGGAAGCAAGAATCACTCTTGAGGTGTATGTCGACGGATCGTAGGATCTTGTGATGTGGTGTATAAAGGTGCAGGAATCCATGAGTGACGATCGCATAGGCTCTTAAGACGGGTGTGTGCGGCAGGTCGTAGCCACGAATATTGAAGAGCCATGCTATCTCGTCTAAAGCGGTAACGACAAGCGCATCGGCCGATGAAAGTTCCATTTCCAGCCGAACATTCCGAATTTTCTCTTGCCATGGTTTACCAGAGTACTGATCCGGCAACGGATATGCCGCATGTGGATTGTATTCAGGTCGGCCCACCTGCCAGATCAAGTCCACCAGGTCGTTATGGACTGCGACCAATCTTATAGGTGAATTCGCTGAACACAAATAGGAGCACATTAATTGTGTGAAAGAAAATCAATTTGCACGATCATCGATATTAGAATAGTCTCGATAAATATTAGGATTTGTTTGGAAGCTCGATAGAAAGAAAAAATTTTTATTTCATAAAATTAAGATTTTTATACAAATTTTACTTTAAAAAAATATATGTATACGTCTTATAAATATATGTATACGTCTTATAAATATAATTAATTTAATTAAATATACACTGAAAAGAATTATAGTATATAATGTTTAATAAAAAAAGGCTTATCTAAAAAGTCATTACCTAATTCGTTTTCCCATATTTCCCATATAAAAGCGGATATTAATCTTGGATTAGCACCGATACGTACTTCCGATTGATTTCGAAACTCATGTATTAACCATTGTGTTATCGTTGGTACCTGAAATTAATGGAGATATTTTTTAATGTGTTATGAATCATCTTGAATCATATTGAGATATTCATATAAAGTTATTAATTACAAATTGTAATTATAAATTTTTGTGACAATCTGGATATGTTTATGTATGCGTATATATGACAATACAATAAATTGTTATAATACACGTATCATAAACTTAAAAAATGCTTTGTTTCATCATATTTATCATATATAAATGATTTCTGTTTTTTATATAATATGTACATACAATGTATATGATACATCATAAATAATATGATTGATAGAAAAATTTTGTGTTTCAATTTAAACAAACGAGCTGGAAAATAATTTTATCTAAGCATGCGAATAGATGGTATTAATAACTTTAGCTTTAAAGTTGAAATAAATTTTAAACGCACTCAGAAAGCTCTACTTCCCATCCTCTTCGCACTAAGTGCAAAGAATGAACGACAGAGATCTCGAGCCGAGACAAAACGAGATCTCATGCCCTCACATTCAAGGAAAAGAGCTATAAACTCTTCATCGTGGTTAATTAAACAGCCGACAAATGAGTGTGAAGATATGATATATCTTAAACTTTCGTCGCTGCAGCATCCTAAATATAGTAGTGTTGGAAAATTTTGATTACGAGAAAATAGTTTTCTCTTGTGGCCATCTATTGAATTACAAAGCAATTAAATTTTTGACATTCTAATGCACAGACATGTGATTTCTAGAGTGGATAATCTTGTCGTCTGGGAATCGAGATTATTTATTATTAAGACAATATGCATATAATAAAAGCGAGAGAGAGAGTGAGAGGGGGGAGGGGCGCAATGTAGATGATGTTGATAAAGTTACAATTACAAGGTATTGTTAAAATAAAATGATTGATATCAAACAAAAACACAGAAATTAAAGCTTAATTTAAATTATATGTAATTTAAATTTTTCTAATATTATTGAAAGATTATTAATTGTTACTGTCTTTTGATTTTTATATTCTTATTATTTTGGAATCTTACAAGTTATGAAAATTGTTGTTTGGAAGATATTTTAAGGGTTTGAGTTTTAAGGCATATAAGTTTATGATAAAAATCAGAAACTATTATGAAATATAAAATAATTTAACTTATTAATGAGAGCGAAAAGTATGTAATTGTATAAAATAATGCAGGAATATATAGGAATAATATATGAATGTAAAACAAACTGATAATGTTATATTAAGTATGTAAAAATGAGATAGAGCTTATCCTTGTATTATATCACGGTAATAAAAAGCTTGAACTTGAATTAATTTACTCACGTCAAGTTCACCTTGCTTCATTAAACTCCAATTGCAATCCAGCTGATGATCCGCTTGAATATGATATCGGCCATCAGTCCAAAGTATTGCTTTGTCTATAGTGACTAAAGCTTCCCCAGCGCTTCCATAAAATCCAGTAAGAAATTCTCTTCTCATATCACGTGGATCCACGGTTTCGCTCTACATAAGAGAAATTTATATGTTTTATTAATAAAAATATGTGTGATTATTGATATTATTATATAGGAATTTGAAAAAAAATTTTCTTAATCCATGAGTATTGAAATATATATCAAAATCAATGTCCATGTTTCAAATTAAATCGATGTCCTTTAATCGTTTTGTTGTTAATAAAAATCAAAAGATTTCACAAGTGATATATATATATATATATCAGATATATTGTACCGCACCAAAGTTTGAAACTTACAATATTCCTACAAATGTATTTTAAAATACAAAAATGTTTTTTTTTTTTTACGAGAATATAATTATTTCATTTAAAAATTATAAGAAAATTTTTTAATTTCCTTATAATTTAATTTCGAGCGATTGTGTATTTTAAAGTCTTTATAATTATATTATTCAAGATTTAGAAAAATATTTTTTAATTTGTATCACATGTTTTTTTTTATATCGTATATAAATTGTCAAATCACTGAAATATTTCTTATTGAGAAACGCGATTTTAAAAAACTAAACACTGCATCCAAAACCACAAAATCTTTTTAGCAAATACAGTTAAGCAATCAACCAAAGCTATTATGCAAATTGCTTTCAATATTAAGAAAACCTTCCGAATATTGCACACCATGTACCTCTAAAGGGCCATCACGGCCATGATAAACAAAGCTCACTGTCTGAAATTTAAACACAATGAAATAAGAAAAGAGACATTTAGCATATATATTATATATTAATTATGTGAAATATGTAATATCGATGTCATTATCAATGAAGCCTGTGAAAATATATATATTATTATTATTACGTATTCAGTGTGACTTGATATAATGCAAGCAATTTAATTTATAAACAACGTTATAATCAATATAAAAAAATTGGCGATTTTAAATAAATTATGGTAATCATATAATTGATTTTCTCTATGTTTATGATCGTAAAAATTATCATTCGTGATAATTGTTATCGTCATTTTATATTATCTACAATTAGTCGAGATTAATCTACTAATACGGATGTGACACGACAAGTCTTAAGATATATATTAATAAATTCCTGGATCGATAAACTATAATTGTGAATATCGACTCGATTTAATCTCTCTCACATTAATAGAATAGAACTCACTTGATGCTCGTCATCTGAAGTAACGATGTAGCCATCGAGCGCTGGCCCTTGAACTGCTGCTACGCGAACCATCTCAGCTCTTAGTTGTCTCAATCGCAAAGAACTGTTATATCGATTAACTGGTTGATTTCCGATATAAGCATTCGCGGGGCAATACGATCTTTTGGCACCATTATAGTTGTATTCTGGTTTTGACAATTTGCTGCTATCGGCTTTCGTTAATTCTGCATCAGACAAATTTTTTAATTTTTTTGACAACAAATAAGACGAAATATATATTATGCCACGAAATAAATATATGCATGTCAATACAAGGTGCATTAACGATATAAATAAAAAATAAATCAATTGAATTCGATTTTTAGTTAGTTATTAAGCCTCAAGAATAATTCTAAATAAAGTTCATTTGAAATTGAATTGTAAAATGGAAAATAAATATTACAAAAAAATTTTTTAAATCGAGAAATACATATAAAAAAAACTTAATTTTTTTGGCACAAATTTAAAGAATTTATTTTATACCCATTTTAATTATATAGATAAATAAGAAATATTGAATTAAAATGATAAAAAATGTGTAGGTATAAAATAACATCTATAGAATAAAAAAGTAGTTAAAATGTAATTCTTAAGATTGTTTGCAAAAGATCTTTGGAGGCGCCGGGTATCGATCCCGGTACCTCTCGCATGCTAAGCGAGCGCTCTACCATCTGAGCTACGCCCCCAGGTTGGAAGACCCTTCTTAATGAGTACTGATGTATGATTGACTATATAATTGACCAGAAACAAATATAAATAAAATTTCTAAAATTTATTTGTACAAAATATAAATATTTGTCTTACATAAAAGTCAAGATATAATTGTATGAATAAATTGATTAATGAATAAATAACATAATCGATAATTCTGAATTGTACTTAATTAAGTTTGAAAATAAATTTTATAAAGACTTTAATCTATCAAAAATAATGATAAATAATAAATTTTTGAACAAATCGGAAATATTTTAATCATTTTTGACAATGTAACATTAAATCAAATGTGTTGGAAAAATAATTATTAGAAATTTTGTCCAAATAAATTGTCAAAATATAATTTTAATATATTTTTCCTTTAAGTATTTTACAGTTTGTGAGTACTGAGTCCATGAAAAATATTATTTCAAATGTGTATATGTGTGTGTATGTGTGCGATAAAAATTATTCTAAAAAGAAAATATAAATTTAATATTTTTTTTTTTACAAAAATAAAACATAACTCTTTAATGCCATAATCCATTTATGAATAATTTGAATATAATAATTCAATACATATTTTTTCATAATATTTACCACTTTAAAAATGGTACTGTATTATATATATGTATGTATGTATGTGTATAATTTAAATGTAAATCATTTATGTATAATTTAAATATACGCTTTAAATGTAAATGTATTTATGATTCAACATTATCATGTAAGAAACATTATCATACAAGAAATACAGGTAAAATAAATAAAGGATACAATTGTAATAGAACGATAAATATTCTTGTTACATCTTATCAGAGATTAATGATAGAAGTTTAAACTTTTAACAAGAAAATTAATCGAAAAAATTCAATTAAAAGATTATAATCTGTGAAAGATCATTATAAACTTGTCTGGTAAATTAGATTTTATACAAATAACGTAAAACAATATGTGATACACGAGTTTCTAAGGTTTCTATAGATCTATGATTTTTTATACAACGGATAATGGGCGATTCGCGTGAGTTTATTTTGTTGACCGGAACTAGTTTCGATTTCCGTTACATATAGTATACGTCCCATGGGAATCCAGAGGGTGTGCTAAGTGGTGCTTGCGTACCAGGGAAGCATCTCGACCTCGGAGTTTAATCGTCCCGAAACGTACGTTTTGATCGTTACATGTATTATATATTGAACCTTCACTGTCATCTTACAAGTAGTACATATGCCAAATCGATCAAATCGGCTCTTGTCTGTTTTTTCTTTTCTCACATTCTTTTTTTTCTCGTCGAATTTACCGCGACACCGTATCAGAAGGATGCATCGCGTATTGTCGCATTCGCGATAAGAAATCAATTTTGTAGATGAATGTAGGAAACGGATCGAATATAATTTAGGGGGGGAGATCATGTACACTTTTGCGTATTTTATCATTAATGCGCTATAACTAGGTCAGCGTATTGTTTAATTTAATAATTTAACGTAAACATCAAGTAATATTAAATATATTACTAGGGAAGTAGGAGCGTGCAGTAGGAAAGTTTTACTCCAATGTAACCTTACAATTTTCAGCTTGGTAATTTTCTCTGTAATTTTCCCGTATGCTGTAAAGGTTGCATTGCTTATTCCTCTCATCATTTAATTCGATATTTACGGATATCTCCTTGTCTTAACTTATTGTACTTGACAAAGACGTGTTATTCGAAAGAAATCCCATTGTATTATATGCAACGGAAATGATACATGGAACTCGTGTCTTCGATAAAATAATTTTAAATGTAAGATAGATAAGAACATTTTTTCTGATAGACTTATAGCCACGTGAGAAGATTGAAAAAAGGATATCAAGTTAATAAAATATCATATTGCATTATTTTTCATCAGATGAAAAAAGATAATGATAGAAATTAGAACAGTTCTAATAAATCATTTACAATATAACTGCAGAAATAATAGAATTATACTTTTTCACATAGATGATGAATTATTGCAAACATTTCACAATTTGCATGTTATTTATATAATTACGTAGATTAATTGATAAATAACTCTATTACTTTATTCTATAATATTCTTATTTCAAGCTGCGTGAAAGTAATAACATATAACATGAGAATCCTGAGCATTAAATTAGCAATAAAAATGTTATGTACATATTTAAAGTAATCTCTCTCTCTTCCGTATGTATAAGTATAAATTTATAATAATTCTATAAAAATAACTTAAATAAATTTCATATATTTTTTTAACCGTTATATTGTATATCAATTTTTTTAATAAAAAGGAAAGAAAATAATAAATATAAGTTTAATATTGTATTAGATGTATATAAATATAAGTTTAATATTATTTTAATATTATTTTTTATTATATATGTAATGTCTCGAGTCATAATTATTCTTTGATGCAATGATAAAAATACGAATATTCGACACTTATAAGTAGACGTAACATAACATTCCGCTTTCTGCTTTCATGCAGGTGGCAAAAGCACCTGTAAAAAGACAAATAATAATATTGCAATGTAAGCAATTATTCACGTGCGTCATTTATCCTTTGCTGCTTCGGATTCAATTTCGAGAGCGCTCTTCTTCTCTTGTCTCGCCTTTGCTCGCGACCATTGGTTCGCCACTCGCTTTACTGTCCCGAAGACACCAGGCTACCATGAACCTCCGGTTACTCTCGGATGCAGGGCAGGGTAAACTCGAGAAACGAAACCCAGAGATACATGTATAGCGAATCGATGTCGCAGAAGCGCATGGCGAGAAGGCCAAATTTTTGCCAGATATCACGGAGGGTGAACTTGACGAGGCCAGAGCGATTCGCTTTCTTAGTTGGTACCACGTTGCCGCTGTCTATCGATTAGTTTGTTCTCCACTCACTTTCGTGCCTCTAGCCGATCCGGCTGGTAGCACGATGAAGAGTTAAAAGGACGGCCGACACAAATCTCGTGGCACAATGGCCGTGATTCATAAATCTCGAATGTTTTATTTCCATATCGATTTACCTAGACCAACGCTTGTCACGCTATATGTCATCGGAAGGTAGGAAATTATTACATTTGCGAGGCGACATTTTTTAATAAAAATTGTATAAATAAATGAAGAATTTAATAATGACTCTAATAATCTTTGACAGTAAGATATATGCCCTCCGTGAAACTATAATTATGTAAATGACGTTGAATTTATCGATTATAGCGATGTTTCTGATTTATCCAATATTCAATTATGCAGTAATAATAATAATAAATATTTGCAAATACGAGCGTCGAATTTCTAAATAAAAACTATTATGAAAGATTGCAATATGTTCTTCGAACATTAATGTCTTTGGGATAATTTTGCCTCTTGCTATCTCATATCGGTATAGATATCTCTGTGTGAAATGTGCGTTCAATATTAAATGACGTGCAGAAGGAGAGATGATTGAGATGCTGCGAGACCGGACTGTTTCTCGAGATGATCTTTAGCATCTATTGAACAGGCTCGCATAATCTATAAGAACTTGTCGTGATTTCATCTTGTGTCTGTGGACCAGTTTGTCGCTTGCAGCTCGCAGTTAGTCTTCTTGCTTTCATTTATCGCTACTCTCCTAGTAAGCAAAATGTTAGCAGTGCTGTTAGCAGTATGCCGTTAGTTCGACAGCGGAAATTCGATTAGAATTGCGGTAGACTAAGCATCGACTGCATTCGGTTGTATTAAGCTTGTGTTAAGTTTCTGTTGAAGCAGACTTTGATGATAGAAAATTGCTACAATTATAAATGCAAAAGTACATCATTGATGAGAGTAAGACAGATGGATGTATGATATGATTCTCATATGACTTTGTGAGAACTTTCATCTTCACGTAAAATTTATAGATTGAAAAAAAGAAATCATGTGCGATTCCACAATAAATATCGTGTTAACATGTCAATAATAATATGTATTTATATTCTAATTCATGTTGGAAATAGATATTTCTATATAATTATTTATTTTATGTATAAATAACATTATAGAAACAAATTATTTTAAATCAATTTAAAATAGATTTTAAATAATTATACTAAATATATGTGGATGCAAATATGAAAAAATATCAACTGAATACAAATAAAAATAAAAAAATAAAATATAAAAATGAGTAAAAATTTGTTTTTTAACATGTTTAAACATTTTATATTTCGTTATCTATATATTTAATCTATTATTTCTAATAAATGCAGTTTGATGAAATCGAAATATAATTAATAAGTTTTCTATTAATTTGTTTTTATGTAATTATTATTTTTGAAATATTGTGTTATTAAATAAAATCTTTTCAGAAAAAAACTATCTATTTATCTACTAAAAAAATATACGCAAAGCCGCGTATTGATTTTCTCTGCGAACTAGTTGTCTCGAGATGATTTTCAGTATCTGCTGATCAGGATCACATGGACTACAAGTAGTCAGACAATTTATGATATTTGCATCTCTCAGTTGTGTTAGTTTATTTCTTTGTTC